GTCTTGGAGTCTGGGCACTCCTCCAGTTTCAGTTACAGAACTCGAAGTAAGTGGAGAAGTCCTTGAGACGCTATCAACGCTATCAAAGCTAATAGCTTTGGGATATCTTTCTCACAGCTCTCTCTCTCTCTCTCTCTTTCTCTCTCTCTCATGGCAAGGAGTAATGACCGTATCCATACATATAAGGATCTGCTGCTCCTTGCATTTTTTGTTCTTTGTTTAGTGGGTGTTAAGCACTCAACAGGTTTTCAATTGTTGGTTTCCATTCCGTTTTATTTCAATCTGTTTTGTTTTATTTCACTCTTCATTGAATACTTCTTTCGAATGTTTCACTATTTTTCCAACTTCTTTCAATTTTCCTACGCATTCAATATTTCTCTGTTCTCATTCATTTTCCTGCATTATTTTCCAATATTTTGTATTGATTTTTATATTTAATTTCCATCTCGATAACAAAGATTTCCGCCATCTTTTCTACCACCATTCTACTTTATTCTCTTCACTTTGTTTCCTTTTTGCTGGCCGTGTTCCCCGTCCAAGTGTTTCGATATATTTATGTACTATTTTTGCGTTCAGCTTAATTCTCTTCGAATCAAAGGATGGCCTCTTACAGGAGCTTATTCTTCATCCTTCCATCCATCCTTTTGCTTTGATCTGCCGCTTATTCTCTCTGTGCGGCTTATCGTCTCCACTTCCGTCTCATGGTCCCATTGACATTCCCATCTCCATCGCGTTTCGTTCCTGTTTGTTGTCTCACTGCATTTCATCCATCAGGAACTAAGGCCAGGCCAAACCGTACATTTGCCTCTTGTTATGTCCTGCGTGCTCTCCTTTCATGCTCTTTTTCTGCTCCTGTTTGCCATTGTTAATCTTTAACCTGGGTCCTAATCCGTGCGTCATGATTGAAAGCAGCTGCAAAAACGTTGCGTGCCTTGTGGCATGCCCCTGCTGATGCCTGCCGCCCCCACAAATGATGGTCTAAACCCGTAGCAGAATGTCGCACATGATGAGCGCACATTGGCAACGACTGGAGACGCCATCGTCGTCGTCGTCGTCTAATCTGATTGCCATGATGTACTTGCCTCCTGCCAATTTGTGTCAATTTGGTGGAAGCCTCAGCCCCAGTCCTCGGCTCCGCCCCATTCTGCTCCCCATTCACTGACTGACTCAAGGCTGAGGCAACATTAAGCCCCACAGCAGTTGTGCAGCAGCTTAAAGTTGCCTCGGAGGCATGGCCCCTGCTTGTTGCACTTAAGGCAGCTTCTAATTAGCTTCGTGGCGTTGGTTCTGGCTCAGGTGTGACAGGTGCAGGGTGCAGGGTGCTGTGAGGTCGCCCTTGGCCCATTAACCATAATTAGTAAGCCTCTGGGCCACTGGGGAGCCACCTTCTCTCTCTCGCTCTCTCTCTTTGTGGGTGTTGGGAGGAGGATCAGGGCGTCTTATGCGGATTGAAAGCAGCGAACCGAATGGCTCTTCTGCAAGATGATGAATCAACTTGCCAAATTGATTGCCAATCCTATAAAAAGATACAGAACACATGTAGGATTAAATGCTGAATATTCCTGAAGTTTATTCTCGTTCAGTGCAGATACTTTTGGGTGCGAGTGTTGCTCAGGGGGTGGTCAAGGGTTGGGGTTGTGCGGTGTCGGCTGGCTAATGACGCACCTTAACCCATGTTAGCCTACATTTTGGTGTTTTGTGGTTATTCTTGGATTGTTGTTGCATGTTGTATGTGCCCAACCACTTGACCCAAAGCCCCCAAAGGCAAAGAGCCGCCACACTTGCGGCTGCCACGATGCGTGTGCCAGAGTGGTGGGCCGGGGCCGGACCGGACCGCTTGGAGCATGGCCTTCATGCAATTGACATCATTCTGTGAGAGCAAGAGGCAAGAGGCAGTTGGCCTACTTTCCATCCATCCATGAGCCGCACACACACCCCACGAAAAGTGCCCCAATGTTGGGCAATTAATACTCCATGCAGCTGGATTAGGTGCAAGAAAAATCCGATTCTAACTAAAGAAGCAAAGACTCCCGGACTTGTAGGCAAGCATACTCGGCTGTGGACACATCTCGCCAGTTGCCAGAAGCGTTTGAAGTGTGCAAATTGAATTACCCAGCACTGGGCATCGCTGAATGGCTGGGCGGCTGGGTGACAGTGTCCCTTTACCCACTCCTTGGCACTCCGTAAATGTTTTAGCGCCATTGAATTTGATGGCAGCGCATAAATGTAATTATAATGTGCATTCTGCATGCAGAATTCATAGCTGCAGATACATAAATGAATATGCATAACATATTCATATGCGAGCACTTGTATCCATCTGCATAAATGCATATACATATGTATGTAGTTTATGTATCTATATCTTTTTTATACGGCTCTCCATGATGGTGGATTACTTAGTTGCAGTGGCAGTGGCAGTGGCTGTGCATTCACTCGTGTATTATATTCATGCATGTTCACGTGCGAGTATTATGCATAATGCATGATCGCATTCGTTAATCAGCGAGGAACGAGCTATATTTAATTTTAATTTTAATTTTAATTAATTTTGTCATTTGTGTGTGGCGTAGGGAGGGGATGGACTGCCATGGGATGGGTGCTTGAGTGCTCGTAATCCATTCATTTAGTATCTAGTAGAACAGTGGTTATGGTTTTGGTAAACAGCTGCCGTAACATGGAAAACAGGCAGCAATACAGCTGTGCCTCGGATGTGCATTTCGATTAAAGGTTGCCACTCGCAGCCAACGAGCAGCAGTCTATCCACTGGAGTCAGTGGAGCTACAGGTAGAGCCAGAGACAGAAACAGACGGAATAATGTTTATGGGCTTTTTCGTGGACTTTTTTGCTTGCCGTAGATTCAATGGCGAATCCGACTCTATGGACGGGACACCGCCTCTGACCGAAATACTCGCCCCACCGCCATTCCCCGAGTCTGTGGTTGTGGAGCCACCCATGGGTTATCCGCAACCCACCATCGAGGAAGAGCAGGTGCAGGAACTGGAGATGGACGACGGCTACAATGGCTATGATGATCCACGTTTGCCCGAGCTTATAATCTAACATATGTGGCACATGCCACAGGCCGCACTGCATTGCACACTGGCACTTCCATTCATTTGGCTTAATTAAAACTCTTTTGCAATAATCCAATTGTCGGCAAAAGGCAAAAACCAAATGACAACAAATGGCATAATGGCCAGACATTTTCCATAAAACTCTCTCTATGAAAACAAAACAGAAAAAAAAGCACAATCAAATGGATCCAGTAGAAGAAAAAAAAAAACTGAACAAACACAAAAACAAAAACAAGCAACAGAAACAAAGCAACAAAACTCTAGCCAGCAAACAATGCGATAAAATTCAATTACAACAAATTTTTAATTAACTTTTTGCAATCAAAACACAAAACAGAACCCCAAAACCCAAGTGAGAAGGCAACAAATACAAACACAAACACAAACACAAATCAAAATCAAACAAAAATCTAAAACAAACAAACAATACATTTATATAATAATACATGAATAGAAATACAAATCGCAGGCGGCAGCCAAATTGAGCGAATAATAATAAATAATCTACAAGTCATCAAGTGGCAGCAGTTTGGGAATTTTTTATTTTGAATCGAGATCTTAGTGTCAGCTTGTGGGAGATCCTTCTTAGGTAAAGCAATTAGAAGTTAAGCAGATAAAATAATATTTTTGGGACTGCATCGCACGCTCCCGCGTTCATGTCTCTCTTACAGAGTGGCTTAGCAGTACATGCTGATTTTTCATGTGCTGCCTGTGTGTCTCTTTCTCTGTACCTCATCGCAATCCTCTGGCACCTGCTCCGATTTTTATGTGGTTTTGTTTTATTCGATTTATGCATGCAAATATTGTGGCATGGAAAGAATAAACTACAAAATATAGAGGGTACACTAGATAGTCTGAGTAAGGGGAATGTAGCATGCATAATGGATTGGAAGCAACCAGAGAGTGACCAAAACTACACCTAATAGCAGGCGCTGGTATACGACAGTCCTTAATTGGATAATGGGAGTTCCAAATGGCGTGGAACAAGTATAAGTGGGAGCAGATGCAGAAGCAGGAGTACTCGTCCTCGTACTCGTAACTGAGGGCAATCTACCTCAACCGATTCCCAATTGAGTAACCATTAACCTGAGAGCAAACCAATGGGGGGTGACAGCACCCCACCAGCAGCGCTCTTACACTCCAAAATGGATGAAACTACCATGGTAAAACCTATCAAGATCTGCCTCTCCCTTTGCCCCACCCAAAAGAGAGAGAGGGAGAGCGAGGAGAACTTTTCTGAGAATGCAACATTCGCGGGGAAAGTTTTGCAACGCGAGCCGAACGACACCTAAACCCCTAGCTAATGGCCCAAAGTAAACGACTTCATGCCTCGCATGGTGGGTGGTGCCGCCTGCTGCGGCCCCCCCAATCCCCTCCTGAGCTGCTCCTCCTGCACTATCCCATTGTATGCCATTTGTTGGTGGGAATTGCATTCGTTGTGGGGAAAATTGCATTTTCTGTTTCTGTTTCTGTTTCTGGTTTTCTGTGTTCGAGTTTTGTTTTGTCGGTGATTCGCACTCGCATTGTTTGTCGGTTCCATTCAAAGTTGTTTCAAGTTGTTTCGAAAGTGTCTGCCAAAGGAAGGTGGCACCTCTTCCGTCACCCCGTCATCCTGCCTCCTGCCTTTTGCCTTTTGCAGTTGGAAGCGCCATACAATTAAGCAAAAATGTGGCTGCTTAAAGCCGCCAACAGCCAGAAGTTGGGCTTCCTACCAATTAACTCAGCCAATTGGCTGTGGAGAACGCCTATAATTAAGAGCAGCAGCAAGAGCCGAAGGAGGAAGGAGTGCGTCGACAATCCTCTGCACGCACGCAACCCAATGCCTAAGTTTTCCCTCAGCCTTAGCACTTTTTCTACTGCTTAATCCATGCCCAAAAGTTTCCTACTCCCCCGCCCCATTATATAAGAAAAACAAACAAAATGTTACAGGCTACCGTTTGGCCAGCCTTTAATCCGTGCCCCAGAGTCTCCGTGTCCACCTAAAACTGATCGGGAATGTAGCGCTCAGATCCGGTGGGAGCGCTAAAGACCTGTTCGTACCGCTCCAGGGTCTCGAAGGAGTTGCGCTTCTCCCGCGCCGGCGGACGGATGCAGGTGGCTGCGGGCAGATGCTTCGAAGGCGGCAGATTGGGCCTTGGGGCACGCAGCAGTCGCTTGGAGAGGCTGCCAAAGCTGAGACGCTGCTGCTGCTGCTGCTGCTCCTCCCGCAACATCTCCTGGTCCATCTGCTCGGCGAGATCGTAACCCACCATGTCATCCACCTGCATGCTGCGTCGATGGCTATTCCCCATGCTGTCCAGTGTCTCGGGCATTGTCTCCGACTCTGCCTCTGCCTGCGGCTTGATGCAGCCAAACAAGTCGACCAAATTAGAGCACATTCTGTCCGCAGTGGATGATGCTGCCCTGCCGAATGTTGTTTAACTTTTATAGAGACACTGACCAACGGACAGTCGGACTATCAGTGGTTGACTCAGCGACTTACCCATGCAAAGCAGCTGGTGGCGAGCCAGGCACTGAGGGCGCGACTTCTCCTCCGGCGATTGCAGACCACTTGGGTTCAAGTGTTGTCCATAGAATATTCATTCGGAAAATGTAGTTGAGATACTAGCAGCAGGTGATAACATTCTGTGGGAAATGTCTGTAAAGACTGTCTGAAGGTCTCTTAATTAGTTTACCATTTGGACTAATATTCTCTTGGAGAACAGATGAACAGTGCTAGAATATGTGAGGGAAAATATGCACAGATATAAAGCATTTGCTGTGGCAGGCTACCCATGGAAGCGTAATCCTATTTCAAATAAGGGAAAATAAAATATGAATATCCATGGAATAAGTATGATGGCATGGATTAGCTATTCCCTGTGTTCTTCTGTCATCCATTTTCCATCCTGCGCCGTCCACTTGTGATGGGAAAAGGCACTCAAAGGTTAAGGCAGCCATCCCTTCCGACACTTCCGCTTCCACTCTGCTCTCTCCTCTCTCCGCGGTCTATGCAGCTCGAAGCGGGGGGCTCCTTCATATTTCGCACAACAATTTGACAGCCATCAATCAATGGAGTACCCTGGCTTCTGCCCGCCTCCATCGCTGCGTTGAGTGGCCACTTGAATGGCATAAAAAGGCGGAAATTAATGCACTTAAGGCATTCAAAATCGAATCCTTGGGCGGCAGACGGCGGACTTCCCACCGTTTTGTGTGCTCTGCAGGGGAATCAAGTGGCAGCTCTCTATCCATCTATCCATCTGGCTTTTTGCTTTGGGGGCCACTTGACTGATTAATTGGCATGGAAATGGCACATTCCCCTAGCCCACTCAAGCCTGGATGGTGATCCTTCGAGGGCGTGTGCCGCCTTTCACGGGCCTCCTGTCAATGGGCCCGCGAGCCATTGAGCGCTTAAAAGCGCAGGATTAGCGTTTGCCTCCGAGTACGCGGGAAGAGCAAGGGAGCTGCTTATAACGATGGGCAAATGGTTTCGGGCAGGTGTTCTCCCCCCCCCCCCCCCCCCCCCCCCCAAAAAATTTTATCTCTTTTTTTGCCCCCGGCCCCCCCCTCTTCATCTTTTTCCCCCAAAATTTGTTCCCTTGTTGTCTTNAGTCCATTGATGGATGGATGTCCAGAATTGGGGATAGGGCAGCTCTAAAGCTGTTCATGGCATTCGCTGGGGGGAATGGGATTGAAGGTCCTTTCTATTTTTGAATAACAAAACTCCCGAAAGGGGACACCAGGCGCCATCTGTGGCTCTCTGAAGGCGTATTCAACACTGCAAAATCGAAAAACATGGGGAAATTCTTGACATAGTAGGTGCGTGTCTCAACTAACAGCAAGTGGACGGTGTTTGGTTGGTGTCTTGGCTGGGTTTGTGGATTGCATGTAGAGAATGGGAAAATACATCCATGCTGCAGTTTTCGCCACTTGTTGCTATTTATTATAAAATTATAGTGAGTATTCAATAGCAAAAAAAAATAGATATACAAACGTTGAGCGTCAAAAATAATATTCAAAGTTTATTTTCCGCTTTTACAAATAATTATTTATGGACTGATTAATTTCATGCCTGATAATGTAGTTCGAATGTGGACTGCTCCAAGCTCAACTGCGAATGAAGCGTGTGGACTGAAGCCCCGGTACACCTCAGTGGATGGTATGTGGTGATTGGTAAATGTACTGGCTGTGCACTGTGGATGTTGATTTGTATGTAGTTAATACGTGGATTACATGTAGTTCACATGCTTTTAGAGCATAGAATCCATGCAGACTTAAGTTTAAATGCCGTTTCAGGAGTTTTTGCCAACCAACCACAATCTTAAGTATCACAAAAGTATATCTTAGATAAGGACAAACGTTTAACCGTGTATATATCTCATAATTGCCTCTAAAAAAACCCATATCCCCCGTTAAACGCTGCCTAATCTCGGCTGCAGCATAGGGATCCGCATGTGGAGGGCTTTTTTCACATGATTTCCGATGTTTCAGCATTCAGCCACCCTCCCCCTTTCTGCTACCCACACACATACAATGAGATTTAACCAACTTTCTCCTCATTTTTGCAGTTAACGGAGCTGGAGCAGCGCGTCATCGAAGCGGAAGAACGCGCCGAGGAAGCTGAAGATAAGGTAAGCCATTAAATGACTGACAGTACATGCGACCGCGTTCCCCGTTCCCCGTGCCTCGTGCCCCTTCCCCCCTGCCACTATTGTGCTGACGGGGGACTGGCAAATTAAAACAGGGATAACAACAGACATTACGGGAGAGCCACGTGAGAGGAGGATGAGTCCTCGACTTACCAAGGAAGTCGCATCGTCTGCATCATTAGAAGGCAGTTTAAAGCGTTTTTCCAGCATTACCATGACAATGTCCAATCTGATGGCAAGAGGGAAGAGATGTTTGTGGGATTGGGGGACCGCATTCAGAGTGGGGTGCTAGGGGCGTGGTGTATTTAAAGCGAGTGATGCGATGCGGTGGATGCTTTCTGGCAGCTGCGGCCAAAAACATTTGCCATTTGCCGGACCCCCCAAACCAAGGCCGAAACAAGGCGAAAAGTTGTCACCCGCAGAGAAAGAGACAGCAGAGAGGGGCAGCCAGACAAGGAGGGGTATGGATATAGAGGGAGGGTACACAAAACATAAATCGACTTCCGTTCCGGGAATCACCCACACGCACATTAATGCAACACTGCGTAGCGCCACAGACCCAGACCCAGACCCAGCCCCAGACGACTTTTGGAGTTCGTGCGGTTGCAAGCGAAGCGGAGCTTTAGTATTCAACTCCCTCCTGCCCTTTGCCATACAGAAGCAGCAGCAGACCAACAGAAAACTACCCCCGATATGGGGAGCAAGGACACATGTAGCCTGATCCCCGCCCATCCATCCGTTTTCTCTGGCAATATCAAATGCGCATTGTTTGCATTAACAAGTCCCTGGAGGCTTTTGGCTTTTACCTAACGCGCAACACCCCGAAAAACAAGCGAAATGCAAATATTTGCACCCCCGCACAACGCACTGTGGAAAACCCTGAAGAGTGGGTTTATCTCTGGCAAAAGGGACTAATACCAGTACCGTTTTCCCGATCCCAGAGCTTGAGACTGGGCCTTCCATTGTCGCAGCGCGTGTTGTGCAAAGACCAAACAGACCAAAACCCCAACAGATCCGGGAGTCCCAGTCGCAGTCTGCAGTCCCACACGGCCAACCACTGTGACAAATTGAATTCTTGTTACTTTGTTTGCGCCGAGATTAGATTCCTGTGCAAACACGTGCCTCTGGATAACGCTCCAGCCAGCCAACCCCCAAAGGCAGGCACCAGGACCAAGGCTAAGACTCCACCCAGTGTGCTGGGTGTCCTGTGGTCCTTGTCCTGCGCAACCCTTCCGACGCGACGGCTGCCTGCCCTTTCAACGGTTCTGTTAACAGCTCCTCATTACTTATGCTTCAATTAGTCCTAAAAGGGCTTTAAAATTGGTTAGCCTCATTAGAACTATTACGAGTGGCAGCACAGGGTGAGAAGATCATTCTCTTCTTTTGCATATTTCGGGTATTTTCTGGCTAGTTAGAATTGTAAATTAAATTAAGAGACCCATTGTTACATTTCCAGTTAACTTAAGTCATGGATTAACTGCTAATTTTGCTGTGCTGTGCTGAATCAAAATGAAGACGCGGCTGTGGTTATCCTGTTCGAATGAGTGATGCAAAGATGATTCCTTTCCTAAGTCTTACACGTCTTACACGTCTTCCACTCCCTCCACAAGGGCACTAAAATAATGGAGAGTACCTTCCAAATAGAGGCAGAGGGATAGAGGCATTTATTTTAATTTTATTTATACCTGCAATATTGAATTTTAACAACGTTATGAATATTCTTCATAGTCAGTGGAGGAAATGTTGAAATCATTCACGTTCTTGGTTGCAATTTTTAACGTTGATGTTCGAGGAGTCTTGCTAAGACATTTTTTAAGATTAACGACTCTTTGTGTGTTATTATTTATTTTCCCATCTTCCGACATATTTTTTGTATCTCAGCTCTCGATCCATTTTCCACCCCAATTTATAGGGGTGATCTATCGAAGTAAAGTAAATTGAAGTATTTAAGTAAAACTAACATTTTATGGTACAAGAACAAAGTGTGTTCACCGAAGAAAGCTTCACATTGTTACTGTTAAAATTCATCATGGGATCCCAATTGGAATGCCAACGCAAATGTGGTATAAAGGAATATTTCCTACAAATTTAATATTTAATCCAAAGCCAGTTTCATCCAACCAGACAAGGTCAGAGGATGCCACATCATCCACAAACACTTATTTTCCCATTTTCCCCATAAAATCACTCCGCACACACCTCACCTCTTGTTCGTGCTGCTCCTGGGGGGTGCTCTTCCGGGGTTGTGCTCCCCAATTCGACTGCAACTCGAACTTCCGGCTGCCGCCTGCTTCGCTTCCGGATATCGCATTAATTATGCATTAAAAAGAGAAAATATAAACATGAGAGGAGCTCTTCAATATGCCCCAACGCGGCCAATTAAGAGCCACCCAAGCAGGGGGAGTAATTCTAAAGTTGGAAAAGGGGTTAGGCGCACATGCCGCGTGGCTCAGTGTTGGATAGCGACAAAAGCAGTGCCAAAAGCCCGAAGCATAGCCAAAACAAAAACAACAACAGAGACAGTACAAGGAATGTTGCAGCCTAAAGGGGAGGCGGCTGCCCATGCAAAAGCATTCTGCAGCGGAAAAGCCTTACCTTCCATGGAATATGCTTTTCGAGAGAATGGCAAACTGTAGTTCCAAACTCTTAGCGGGCAGCCACGAGGGTGGCAAAGCTTGACAGCTGAGAATGAGAGAGCGATGTAGAAGAGAGAGCATACTGATGCATCCCTTCCTGCTCGAAGAGAACTT